CAACATGGCAAAAAAATTTAAAAATTAGCCAGGTGTGGAGGCACACACCGGTAATCCCAGCTATTCAGGAGGCTGAGGCAGGAGAATTGCTTGAACCTAGGGGACAGCGGTTGCAGTGAGCCAAGAACATGCAACTGCGCTCCAGCCTGGACAACAGAGCGTGACTCCCATCTCAAAAACAAAAACAAAAACAAAAATAAAAAAGCAGTTAATGTCAGGTTGTTCTTTTAACATTCTTTCAAACCCCACCTCCCAGCCATTTATTGGCAACTAGAGACCTCTCCGTTTTTCACCTGGTCTACCACTTCTGCCCCAGAAGCCAAAAGAAAACCTATTTAAAATAAAAGCAAGCTGGGCCCAGTGGTTCATGCCTATAATTCCAGCACTTTGGGAGGCAGAGACGGCTGGATCACTTGAGGTCAGGAGTTCGAGATAAGCCTGGCCAACACGGTGAAACCCCATCTCTACTAAAAATAAAAAATTAGCTAGGTGTGATGATGCACACCTGTAATCCCAACTACTTGGGAAGCTAAGGCAGGAGAATCACTTGAACCCGGGAGGCAGAGGTTGCAGCGAGCTGAGATCATACCACTGTACTCCAGTCTGGGCTACAGTGAGACTATGTTTAAAAAAAACCAAAACACACGCAAAAACAAAAATCATCCCCCTTCATAGTTGTCATCCAACTCAAATCTGCTTGTGTATGAGAGTGGAGGTTGACAGCTTTTTCAGGCAAGGATAATGAAATGAGAGAAATGGGTCAAAATATAAAGAGTAAATAGTGCCTCCCTGTCACATATAACCTTGCCTCTCTCCTCAGCACCCTGATAAAAGACTCCACCAAACCCAGCCTCTTGGTTTTCCTAACTTAATCCCTCCCAAATTAAGCAAGGGATATCCCACAGGTAACTTGGACCTGACTTAGGATGAAACAGGGAACATATCTGCCACCATAAAATAGGGCCACATCAGACTGGTACAAATGTTATCCCACATACTCCTCAAGGGTCCATCATTCTTTCTAGAGTACATAAGCTTCAACTTAGTCCTATAGCTAATTTTTTGAAAACATGGAATTGTGCCCAATGGAGAACACAGGGAGGAGTGGGGAACCTGTTTATCTGAAAAGCAGGAATGTTCACCTTTTCTGTTACCTCATGAAGTCAACCCCAAACTAACTGTATATTACGGCTTCCTGCCTAGGAGACCATGAAACAAAAACACACATGCATGACAACTGTCATAAGCTTTTTTTTTTTTTTTTTTTTTTTCCTGAGATGGAGTCTCACTCTGTCCCCCAAGGCTGGAGTGCAGTGGCACGATCTCAGCTCACTGGACCTCGGCCTCCCCGATCTCAGCTCACTGCCTCAGCCTCCCGAGTAGTTGGGACTACAGGCGCATGCCACCACCTGTGGCTAATTGTTTTGTATTTTTAGTAGAGACTGGGTTTCACCATGTTAGCCAGGATGGTCTCAGTATCTTGACCTCGTGATCCACCCACCTTGGCCTCCCAAAGTGCTGAGATTACAGGCATAAGCCACTGCGCCCAGCCAAAAAGAGGCAATTTATAAACTGCAATGAACAACATAAAAAATCAGTTATACTTTAATAGAATACGTTAGAGCTCCGTCTCTGGATCATGATTTATACTGAGAATAAAAGAGAAATGCTCTAGGGTTTTCATCTCACCAATCTTATTTGAGGGGCAAATGTTGTCAGCTACATCCTAAACTGAATAATAATTACTGTTTCCAGGACAAAGTGGGACAACAGTACGTGACATGAATAGGAAGCTTTCAAGAAACTAAACTAAAATGTTTTGACCTGGCACAGTAGCTGAAGCCTGTAAACTCATCACTTTGGGAGGCTGAGGCGAGTGGACCACCTGAGGTCAGGAGTTCAAGACCAGCCCAGGAAACATGGTGAAACCCCGTCTCTACTAAAAATACAAAACTCAGCCAGGCACAGTGGCAGGTGCCTGTAATCCCAGCTACTAAGGAGGCCGAGGCAGGAAAATTGCTTGAACCAGGGAGGCGGAGGTTGCAGTGAGCCGAGATTGCACCACTTCACTTCGGCCTGGGTGACAGAGTAAGACCTTGTCTCAAAAAAAAAAAAAAAGTTTCATTTTACGAAAGTGTTGACTTCACAATTTAACTGCTCCCAATTCACCTACATCTTTCATTATTAACACTACCTCTGAAAAGAGAAGGGGATCTGTGAAGCAATACCAAAACATTAGGCTTAGACTCCATAAGCCATGGCAATCTCACTTTTAGCCCCTGTAGTCAAGTCACTTTACCTTTCTGAGTCTTTGGTTTATAGCTATAACTGAGAACAATAACTATCCCATAAAAATAGGATGCAAATAATGTTCTGTAACATGCTTCTCCCACCTGTTTGCCCTCAAAATTCAAATCAATTCTATGGAAATGAGCCAAACAGCCTTTAAAATAAAATGCACAAACATATTCACACAAACATATTACCCATTTCATTTAAGAATGTCATCTTGGTCAAGTACCTTTCAGCTCATCTAATTAGAAGCAAGCATTTTGCTTTTTCCATACTCACATAACGAATGTTAAAACTAGCATTTTAATGACTAATGACAGCATTTTATTTATAGTGCTTGCAGAGCAGTGGAAAACAGCATACCTAGGTAAAGAACTTTGAAAAAAAAAAAAAAATCTGGCTATCAAACAACATTCTCCACATGTTTGGTAAGCACAAGGCCAAGAATCATACCTAAGCTAAACCAAAGCTGAAATCACACAATAAAAGATTGTTCACTATAGTCAATGCCAAAACAAGTTGATACTATTTACTCCTCTCAATCTGTAGATTGCAACATACCAGGCCAGTTATACAAATGTAACGCTGACTATAGAACTGAGCCTGAGACAAAACTGCACACCAAATGATTAAACTATCAACAAATTATGCTCTTAAGATGACAAAAATCTACTATAAACTAACAGTCTTGGCTTTTATATAAACCTTAATCACATCTTAAGATTCTTTTTAGCTAGTCAATAACATAAAAACCATATTCGCCTTTGTCTATAAATGTATACTTAGATTCTCCAGGTTTGAACATTTAACACTAACTGTTGATCAAATAACAAAATAATGGCCTCAAGATTTTTTTAGTAACAATGACTTCCTATAGTATACATCTACCTTTAGTATTAAAGTATTTCATTTAAATCAGGCATCTTTAGGTGGGTAGAAGACTCTTACCTTATCATTCCTTCTTGTAACTGAAGAAATTGCCAACTATTCTCAAACAACTATCTTCCCCTCCCCCAAATATTACTATTATATACTAATGAAAAAAATTAGCCCTCAATATTTTCAAAATTACTCTTTAGAAGGCAATCACACCAAAAAGCATATATGTATCTTTCACCCAGAGATGCCACTGGCACACAAATACTAACAGTGAAAGACAGCTTTTGTTTTATTAGAAAGACTTGAACAAAAAATATCAGTTCATGGATTCCACATACCCAAAAAACTGTCTTCAAATTCATTTAGTTTGGATTAACTCCTGAAAGTTGAAATAATTACAAGTTATAAACAAAAGGTTGTATAATGATATCCACCAAAAAGGATCCATTCCATGGAAACTTTTATCTAACACCTACTCAAATATTATTTCCATCTTTTTGGCACTCAGAACTAAAATTTGCGTAAGCTGAGCAAGAAATGGAGATTTACTTCACTATATCTTAGTTTCCCAAAGATGTGGAAAGTAATAACGGATGCATTAGCTTCACCCACCCCACTTTAGCATCCAGTATTATCTTATTATCCTCCACAGTTTCCAACACAAACCCTCTACTTCCATGTTCTAGCTCCCACACATTTTCATACCATGCTTTTCCTTCCAACTAGATTCATAGCTCCTCGACAATAAGCATACTTATTCTTCATTTATTTTCATTCCGCTCAAAAGAGAATGCAATCTTGGAGAGTCAATAGGTGTTCAATATTAAACACACTACTAATTTAAAATGGAATTGATTGTATAATCTCAGGCCAATTTTAAACCTTTAAAATAAATACCAACCTCATTTGATGTGAGGTCGGTAAAGAAACAGGAGATTCGCTACCACTAAAATCCATCTCCAAGATGATGTGCTACCTCATTAACTAGTAGTAGTTTTGTTCATGCTTGGGAGAAATAAATCTAAATCAGATGTAAATTCCAATTGTTCACAACATGGTTTCTAAAACATAGAAACATACACCAAACTCATGAACCTAATTTTCACATCACACCACAAACAAATCAGGATAATAGTTTTCCATTAATTCTTTTCACTAATACAAAATGCTAGTATGATACTCCACTATTCTGTACTAAAGTGACATACTGCAAAGTTATTTTTGGAAAGAGAAGTTAAAAGTGTTCACAGCAGAGATCAGCATTTTTGTGTACTTTAGAAAACAGAGTTACAATAATTTAAAAATACAAATACAGCTAATAGCTAAATTGGCTACCTGTTTCCCCAACCCCGGGGAAAACAAAACAGAGTTAGCTAATACAAAATACAAAGTTTAGTGTTATTAAGTGGACTACAACGTTCTGTCTTCAATGTATGTGAGACATTACTTAAACACTAAGCACAATGTCTGGAATACAATCTTAGTCGACAGTTACTACTACTACTACTTGCAGCCACAAAATTCTATCAAGTAACTTTTGCAACAAAGAGAAGATACAAAATCTACCGCTCTTTCATTTTATGTTGACTTTTAAAATAAATGGCAAAATGCCAAGTGTGTTAAGCTTAGAGAAGGCTTTGAGTCAGCATATAAATCATACATTCAACTAGCACTTGATTTCCAATCCAAAATCTCCTTATGTATTATGACTCACCAAATTCCCCATTTCTTCCAACTATGAAAAATTAAGTTACACTCCTCTAACTACCATGACTTTCGTAGAAATTAGGTTAAGGGACTAATTTTAAAATTCTTAAAGACACCCTCACCTTGGTTTCTGAAGAAGAACGCTTGCTGAGTTTAATACAAACCACCCAGGGGTACTAAAGCTGTGTGACCTTTACATATGTTCTGGGATATGGCCTAACAACACTTGCCTTTGGGGATCCCCTGGACAGCTTTGGACCTAACTAGGCCTGGGTACAAGTGGAAAGCCTCTTACTCAGTCCACTGTAGAAGTCTAGGTCCCAATCCCAGGCCGCAGAATCCAAGCCCGTTCACCCTCAAAACCGTCCCTGATGCTGACCCACAGGGTCTTCGCTCCCCTAGCCACCTCGTCTGGCGCCGAGGCAGGGAGACTCAAAAGCCCAAGACCCGGGTGAACGGCGCCATTTTAGGCGGCGTTGGCGGCGACAACCAATCCCTGCGCGGGAGGCAGGGGGCGCCGGGTCGCTCGAGAGCCGCCGCCGGCCGGGCTGGGCGCCGGTCTCGGTGACTCGGGGGGCCCGGGCCGGCGGCCTCCGCCATGTTGCACCCTCCTCACGGCCGCCTTTTCTTCGGCGGGGTCGGCCCCAAGGCGGCTGCCTGGAGCCGGAGTACAGCTCACCTTCTCGCAGAGGCTCTTGACCTGGGACTCGGACAGCTGCTTGCACTCGTTCAGCTGCTCGATCCACTGGTCCAGCTCCTTGGTGAACACCTTCTCGTCCATGATGCCACCCGCCCCAGCCGGCTGCCGCTCCGCGCTGCTCCCGCGCCGCCGCCCGCACACGGGCCACACGCACACGCCGCCGCCGGTTCCTCGTGTACTTCTGGCGGCTACTGAGGCTGGCGCGGGCCCGCTGGCTCTCACCGCAATACTCGGCCGTCGGCCGCTGCGCCGCCTCCTCCGCTCGCTCAGGAACCAGAGATCGGCTCTCTGTAATGGCGGCCGCCTGGCGTGGTGACGTCACGCCGGCGTCAGGAGGCGGCGGGGAGCGGACGGGAAAAGGGACGGGGAGCGAGCTGCGCAACTGCGGCGCTCAGCCCCGGCGGCCGCACTACCGGAGTTGGGGCGCAAACTGTGGGTCAAAGCGCAGGCGCGACGTAGCCGGCTGGTAACTGAGTCGCCTTCGCTTTTAGGGCGTGGCTCCCGGAGGGCGGGTGGTGGGGGAAGGGAAGGATGGAGCTGGAGCATGCGCAATGCGCACAGCGGCGAACCGGACTAATCCCTTAGCACTGCGCCCCGAGAGGTGAAGGATTGGGCCACGCGCAGGCGCAGACCGGATGGAAGCGGGGGCTACTGGCTGTCTGTAACTGGTTCCCATGGGAAGGCCGTTCTGGTGATGAACTCAGCTCCTAGTCTGGGCCCGGCAGCCGGTCACGGAAACGAAAATTGAGACCCTATGGCTCCTCCCGGGTACGGCAGCGCTGGAATTGTGTGGGTTTCCCGCATCTTTGGGGGCAGGAACGGGCAGCGAGTGGCCGCCTGGTTGGAATAACCACCCCCACCTCTGGGCGCGGCTGGTGTAATTAGGTCACTCGTAGGTGGAGGAGCGTGTACCTACCGTGGGAGTGCCGCGCAGTGCACCTGACTTCCCCGGCACACACCGGTCCCCTGACCTCGGTGTCTCGTTGGGCGCGACGGCGGTGGCGAGGTTTGGGCTTTTCTTTGAGCCTCAGACCGCGGCTTGGTTCCACGTGCCCCGCTCCTCGCTGATGGTTGCTTTCCTCCAAGTTTGATTCCCCCTGGAAATGAGACCCTCAACCCCTGCGCTCCCTGGCCTGCTTTCTAGAGGAGAATCCCATAGAAGATGGATGCACCTGTCCTGACCGCGTCCCGACGGCGTTAGAGGCAGCTGTAAAAGAGAGCTTGCATACCCTGGGATTGGACCTCTGTCTGGTTATGAATCGCTTTGGAGTTTGCGAAACATTTTCACATTCCATTGTCCCTGCTTTTACATACACATCTGGTTCCATAGAGCGCCAACTATGTGCCAGATCCAGAGGGGTCATCCAGACGGATGACACCCAGCCCTGGAGCTTGTATTCTCAACAGTATTGGCTGAATATGGTTTGGGATAGACAGAGAGAGATCATGATGCCCCCAGAGTTTGAAAGGTATAGAAGCTTTCCAAAGAACATTTAGCCATAAAGGGAAAGGCAAGAGCTGAACTTGGTCGCCTGTCTTCCAGGCGCCCCACCCTCAGTATCAGCAAACCCTTCCACACCCAAGTGCTCAGCAATGCTCTGGAGGAGAGTGCTCACTCTGCGGCTCTGAGGGCATCATCCCGACCAACAGGCTGAAGAAGGCACTGGAGGCCCCAGTAGCCAATAGCAAGACCGAAAATCCTCCTTTATCCAAGACAACCTGTTTGGCAAGGCCAACTGGCTTGGCCTCCTGGGCTGGAAATTGTAATTCTGCTTTCCCTTCATACCTCCCATTAGTGTGCACAAAAGAAACTACCTCAGATCTACTCTTCCAGAAGTCTTCTTACATACTTAATTGACCAGACTGGGAAAAGACTCTTCAGCCCAAATTCTGTCCCTGTTTTGCAGTTAACATCCCCAAACAATAGAAGGGTATGAGTTAGGACCAAGTAGAATGAATGAGGAAAAATCACTTGGTGCCCATGATTGTAAAGCCATACCCAGTGTGCTATCTAATCTTATTCTTTACCATTGTCATGAACCTATATGAGAATTGATCCTGTCTGATAGGGCAAGAAGCAGACAGGCACTCAAGAAAGAGAAGGGACTTGCCCAAGGTGGTGGTCAGGGTTTAAAACTGCATACTCCCAAGTACAAGGTCTCAGTCATAGTCATGCAGTTGTCAGTTCCAAGATCTGACATCTGGAACAGAATCAACATAATTTCTCTTTGCCTCGATTATCTTACCTGGAAAGGTGGTGGTGATGTTAGTTTGGTAGATGATGAAGTATGGAACACCCACTATATGCTAAAATTATAGTGAGTTTTTCCAGAGTACTGTGAGCTCCTTGTTGGTAGCATTAGTGTAGGTGTTATTTATTTTCTCTTGATGCAGATTACTTGGCTCACCACCATCACAAAATGGAGGGAACATATAATAATTATATGTACTTAAAACATCCTGTCAAATAATTAAGTGCCATGACTTAACTTCTTAAGGAATGTATTCTAGGAAGCTCTTTTTTTTTTTTTTTTTTTTTTTTTTTTTTTTTTTTGAGGCAGAGTCTCACTCTTGCCCAGGCTGGAGTGCAGTGGCATGATGTCCGCTTACCACAACCTTCACCTCCTGGGTTCAAGCAATTCTCCTGCCTCAGCCTCCCAAGTAGCTGGGACTACAGGTGTGTGCCACCATGCTCGGCTAATTTCTTTATTTTTGGTAGAGATGGGGTTTCACTGTGTTGGCCAGGCTGGTCTCAAACTCCTGACCTCATGTTCTGCCCGCCCCAGCCTCCCAAAGTGCTGGGATTACAGGTGTGAGCCACCATGCCCTGCGAATTCTAAGAAGCTCTTAGCATCAGACAGTGAAGCAAAACATACGTGATTGTAAACAATACAGAACTAATCAGGATATCTTTTTCTTTAGAAGAAATCCAGCATGTTTGTGTATTTTATAGAACTCAAAATATCTAATTGACATGAAAATGAAAATTCAGTTTAACTTATCTGGTCTTGACTTGTTTGACCTCACTGAGTGAATTCTAGAGCTGAAGAATATTTGGAATAAAAATTTTAAAGCAACCCAAAAAGAATTGTCTTTTTAATTTCTTGGTAAACACCAGAGAGTAAATAAAGCAAATACGCTTTGAGAAAGAATCTTTGCTCAGATGGCAAATTCAGTATACAGCAAGTCTGAGTGTTGCCTGATGTTTAAACATAGCTATGAATAAAAATCATCTGATGGTGGGGCAGGGTAGGTGGAGGATAACCTTGAGCGAATAGCTTTATAATAGGCACTCTTAGTCAAGTTATACAAATTGACATTAAACCTGGAGTAGGAATGAGATGTGTCTTGTCAGCAATTCTGTTGGCATTAAGTTAGGTTTTCGTTGTTGTTGTTCCAGTTTCCTGACTTCTAAACTTACTGAGACAGAAAGTAGAGCAGTGTTGGAAACGACTGTGGAGGCAGATGGAACTGGGTTCGAATTCTGGTTCTGCAACTGTCTAGATGTGTGAAGTTTGGCAAGTTACCTAACTTTTCTGTCTCTTGGGTTTCTCATCTATAAAGTGAGAATAATTGTAGTAGACAATAAGGTTCTTCAGATAATTAAATGAAATTATAAATGAATAAAACCAGGCTGGGTGCAGTGGCTCCAGTCTGTAATCCCAGCACTTTGGGCGGCCAAGGCAGGTGGATCACCTGAGGTAAGGAGTTCAAGACCAACCTGGCCAACACAGTGAAACCCTGTCTCTACTAAGAATACAAAAAAATTAGCCGGGTGTGGTGGTGTGTTCATGTAATCCCAGTTATTCAGGAGGCTGAGGCAAGAGAATTGCTTCAACCTGGGAAGTGGAGGTCGCAGTGAGCCAAGATCCTGTCACTGCACTACAGCCTAGCAGCAGAGCAAGACTCTGTCTCAAAAATAAATAAATAACACCAAAATAGTATGAATTAATGTACAATAAGTGCTAGATGTTCTTTTTATTATTATTATTTCTAAGTGGGCTCAGATTTTAAATACATACCCTCTAATACCAGTTGGAGTCGCTCACATCTGCAGTGAAAAAGTGGTGTTTGGAAACAGAACATAAGGGTATCAAAATATCATGTAGGCCGGGCACAGTGGCCTGTAAATCCCAACACTTTGAGAGGCCAAGGTGGGTGGATCACTGAAGGTCAGGAGTTTGAGATTAGCCTCACCAACATGGTGAAACCCTGTCTCTACTAAAAATACAAATATTAGCCGGGCATCATGGTGGGTGCCTGTAATCCCAGGCTACTCAGGAGGCTTGCTTGAACCTGGGAGGCGGAGGTTGCAGTGAGCCGAGATCGCATCACTGCACTCCAGCCTGGCTGACAGAGTGAGACTCTGTCTCAAAAAAAATAAATAAATAAAATAAAAACATCATATAGACACAAAGCCATTGTGAAGTGGGGATGGGGGAGGAAATTCAAGGAGAGGGAGGGTTGGAACAAAAAGAACAACTCCTGGCTGGGCACAGTGGCTCACACCTGTAATCCCAGCACTTTGGGAGGCCGAGGCGGGCAGATCACCTGAGGTTGGGAGTCGGAGACCAGCCTGACCAACATGGAGAAACATCATCTCCACTAAAAATGCAAAATTAACTGGGCATGGTGGCGCATGCCTGTAATACCAGCTACTCGGGAGGCTGAGGCAGGAGAATTGCTTGAACCCGGGAGGCAGAGGTTGCGGTGAGCCAAGATCATACCAATGCACTCCAGCCTGGGCAAGAAGAGTGAAACTCCGTCT